TATGCAAATGAATACCTGATTTCATGCAAATGATGATCGCTTCCGGTAATTCAACGAGAACGCCAGCTACACGTCTCACGACAGGGATGTTTTCCAGATTATAACATTGCATTTCGAGATTTTCACAAAATTGCGAGTTATGCCTTACCCGGCACAATGCAAATGGATCCTCTGAAAATTTCCAAACGTTTTGGAAATTTCTACAGATATTACGTTAGTTTTCTTGATCTGCTGAGATTGTGTACATGTTTTTTTTCCTATTAGCAGGGCTGTGTGGGTATCGTGATGCTATGGTTTGTCTGCTGAGTTCTTTTAACAATCGGATATCGTCTATCTGATTCGTGGTTCAGATAAGAATGAGATCGAACGTCGTACGTCGAAAGCCGGAATTTCAAAAAATATGGGGCCAGAACTGGTTGATTTTTTGTCCACGTCAGGCATCACTGGTCAGTACCACAAAGGTAGATTGCCCACAAAGAATCACATATCCATTCATTCCCCATTTATTCAAATGTTCAAATTTTCTCGTCTTATAGTTTGTATGAAATCGCCTCTCCAAAACAGCTGTTAATCAGCATTTAAATCACTATTAGTATTAATCGTTATTCATAAAGGTTAGCTTATCTGGAACCTAGCATTCTGCTGACTAAGTCAACGATGATGAACCAGAGATATGAATGCTTGAAATATGTTTCACTCGCGCACATGTTAACAAATATAATTTTTAACGAGTGGAAAAGTAAGCATATTCATCTCCTAATTTGGAGAATCTCAGGTGTGTTCAATTGCTNCTCAGAACAAACCTGTGGATATGCACCGAATTATTAGCGTCGGTAGCGTTCGACTAGAACCAGATGGGATGATTACACCAAGGACGGCAGCACAAGATTTTTCCAACTTCGTACAAAATTCTTCGCCATACTTGACAACACAAGAGTTGATTGCCTGCTCTGAAATCAAAGCTGTGAAAAAAAAATCAAAGATCATCACTGATAAAGTTATCGACAAGGTGATACACGTTGAAGTCGCACAGTCACAGAAATTCCTACGAAGAAAGTCCAGTTGAAGCGGTGGTTAAGGGTGGGAAGAGCCTCACCTGATTCAATGCAGATTTCCACAGCTCGCGGCAATTCATGGAGACTTCCAGAAAGACGTCCATCCATATGAATCTGTTGTATTTCATAGCAACGTGCTTCCATTCTATCACAGTATTCAGCTCCGAATTTTACTCTGCATGTCGCCAAAGGATGATCTAAAATGTACCACGTTTAAACTCCCATGATGGAGATGGGTAAAAGGTTGAAGTGCAATTCCGTTGCTCTAATACGTCAGCTGTCACACTAGATACCTTTGTGTACGCACTGCACCACAAGTGTTGGCAGAATCTGATCACCATTTGCTGGAATGGTCACGCCGAGCATCGCTGCACACACTGATACCAGTTTCGTGCAGAATTCCCTGCCGTGTTTGGTTCGACACGCATCAATGATTAACTCTGAAAACGTCATTCTCGAAGGAAAATGTCAGCGATTTGCATAGTTCAGGTTTAGCAGGTTCTTCATTACTTTGTAGCGCTACACAGCCGCCATATATACATGAACAAATTGAAGCAAAGTGTGATATATGGGCCAAATTTTATCTGCTGTGCGTTTTGAAATCACTTTGAAACGCGCAAGCTCTGAGATCCAGTTTTCAATAAATAGTCGAATAGCACCAGGCTGTCGAGGATCATAATATTCAGACAATTTAAAAAATTATGGGACCGATATTCGTCCCGATATTTCTTAACAAAACTAGAAATTCTCATCGAAACGCAGATAATATATTGGAAATTGAAACCTGATTTTATGCATATATCGATCGCCTGAGGTACGTCATATAGTGTCCCCTGGAGGTGTTCCACGATGGGTATTTTTAGTCCTTTATAGCAACGTTGTTCAAGATCGTCACAAAATTGAGGATTAAATTTGGCTCTGCACATTGCCAGTGGATGCTCTGGAAAAATTTTTATTACTCAGCTATTCTTTTTGGAGTTAAAATTGACCGATGCATGAATCTGATACCCAAATAGACAGTGATATGTGACAGTGAATCCTCAGATTATCCAAAAAATTCGAACATGGGAAAGAATGCCAGAACATGTGCCCCATTCAGAACTGGCTCCGTTGTCACAATACTCATCATTTCATGCTCGTCATCATAAACGCTACAGAACATTGACTGAGCTAACAGTTCTTGAACCTTTTGGCGTGGTAATTAAACGAATAAACCAAAAAGTATGGTGCAAACGTCAACCTTTCGATACGCACTGAACAACAACATTGGGCAGAATCCGATCGGAGCCAGTCGCCAATGTTACACCGAGCAATGACGCACAAGTTGTTTCCAGCTTAGAGCAAAACTTCCGACCATATTTCGACACGCACATCTCGACAACCACTCCTGAACAAATACATATGAACCATTGACGTTATTTTGGTATCACTTAAGGGAACCCACCGTTGCCCATCAACATGTTCATTTTCTCAGAAATACAAAAGGAAAAGATTACTTCTGTGTCGGCAAACAAATGAATACCTGATTTCATGCACACAACTATTGCCTCCGGTACATGTTGCTGTGTTCCAAGCTGACTTGATACGGGAACCATTCTTGTGAGTTTGTAACACCGAGTTTCCAACGCTTTGCAGAATTCGGCCCCATATTTCGCTCGACAGATCGCTACTGGATGCTCTGAAAATTTTTCGCGCTTATAATTTTGCGTTAGACATCAATATGCAACGGCAAACCCAAATATGATGAGAACTCTTGTTCGTCCTTAGCATGGTTTCATTGTGCTGCATATGCGCCAGTTTGGCGACGGATTTTACAATCTCATCAACTTTGGAAACTCAAAAGCATCCATGGCATGGTTCACTCCGAAATGTTGACTTTGATGAGCCATTGGAAGTAATATTCTTTTCCCGACGAATAGAAACTAGTTATATCAAACACATGCCTTCGGACATGCACTTGATAACAACCGGTGGCAGAATTTGACCAGAATCAGCTGACAGGGATACACCAAGCATGCTTGCGCATTCTATCTCTAGCTTATTGCAGAAATCTTCATCGTATTTCGCTGCACACGAATCGACAATTCCACCTGAAAAGTGAAACAAAATTGAGCCAATCCTGAGAATAATTGATCAGTGGCTATCGCTCGATTGTGGTATCTCATATTAGTTGGAGTTTGATCAGAATACTGCTTAAGGAGTCCAAATTGATGATAAGATTTTCTACTGGGCCGGCATTGATGCTGAAATTCATACCTGACTTTATGCAAACTTCAATTGCATGGGGCAGTTCATAGAGTGTACCGGGCATATGTTCGACAACAGGTATTTTCTGTATTTTGTAGCAACGACTCTCGAGATTGTCACAGAATTCAGCATCAAATTTTGCTCGACATGTCGCTAATGGATGTTCTAAAATAAGCACATCATCAGAATGAAGAGGATCATTATGCGAGGAAAGATTATGTGATGATAGTGACCTTCGCACCCGTCATCAGCTATGTTATTGCAAATGCGGCATATTCATCTGTTTTACGTGGCTGTGTTCCGACGTCCAGCGGACACCATAAGTCAACGGGTTTGAACCTCCTGTTTCTGTTTGCCATCTTCATATAATTGTAATTGTTCACGTCAGTAACTCTACTGAATAATGCTTGACTGTTACTGCCAAGCAATTCAGTCATGAGTAAATTCTCTGGATATGGGTCATGCGGCCTACTGAAGCAGTGATCGAATAAATATGTCATTGCAGCAATGCACAGGGGTAAATTTTGATATGTTTCTTATACTCTATGGAATTATACTTAAACTATGCGCTCAGACGATTCAGTGAACTCTCAGTAGGGATTCAGTTCGATACAATCGTAATTCACTAGGATTTCAGTTTTCGTCATTTCTACCCCTTCCCTAATTGTTGTGTAAATATCTCCATTGTTGCTGTCATGTGTAACTGATGATTAGATTGCTGCCTTCAACCCATATGATTACCGCAATGTTTTGAAAACTCTTCTCAAGGCTGAGATTCTGAAAAAATCTTTCTGTAGGGTAACCCTCTCAATATTGCGTACTTGTCAAATACCTCAGCTGGGGTGAGCGAAGTTGTGAGAATATCATAAATGAAATGCTTACCTTTCGATATGCACTGTACAATAACTGCTGGCAGTATTCGACCCGAACCAGCTGGGATGGTTATTCCGAGCATCGTTGCACATGCCTCTTTCAATTTTGAGCAAAATTTTTCACCGTATTTTGCTTCACAAGAGTCGAAAACTATCTCTGAAAATAATGTGCTTGGAACGTCTGAATAATCATCAGATCTGTGAAGAGTTTTCAGATACACTGAATATTATAACTCTTGGACACTAGTAGAACAGTTACTGTTGTCATACGGAATTAATACATGAACAATGAGATATTTACCCGATTTTATGCAGATTTCGATTTCTTGAGGAATTTCGTAAAGAGCTCCAGGTGTACGCTTCATGGCAGGGATTTTCTTCAGCTGGTAACAACGCTGCTCAACACTGTCACAAAATTCAGCGCCATATTTCGCTCTACACGCCGCCATTGGATGCTCTGAATATACAGTACAGTAGTTATTGGTAAGAAGCGGGATACATCAAAATAAGTCAAGGAATTTTGAAACCATAGTACTAGTTTCCAAATTTTCAAAAGGCCGTTTTTGTAGAACGACAGTAACCTTCAATATGAATTGACAGAACAAGTTATTTGCAAAAAAAGAATACAACCTGAAGAAATGCATTGAATAACAACCGCCGGAAGAACTCGATCCGGACCAGTTGAAATGGTTACACCAAGCATAACTGCACAAGATAACTCTAGTTTAGTGCAGAACTCTTTCCCATATTTAGACGCGCACGAATCGATAACAATCTCTGAAAAAGAATTATTTGCATTTGTACATGAAGCTAACGGCGCTGCACAGGGGAATATCGAAGGAAGACCACTCGAAAAATTTTTGAAATATATAAGACGAATTCCTTCAATCAAAAACAGGGATAACATGCTCCATGAGTGATTCTAAAATCAATCCGACGTACTTGATTTCATGCAGATTTCAATCTCCTGTGGTAGATCGTAAAGTCTTCCAGGTTCGTGGTCCATAACAGACATTTTCAGCAACTTGTAACAACGTTCTTCAAGATTGTTGCAGAATTCGGCACCATGTTTCGTCCTGCATGAAGCCAACGGATGTTCTGAAAATAAGTCGTCTACAGCGGTTGATCTCAGTGCTTATCTCTCGCTGATTCAATATCGAAGCATCATGTATTACGCTCCACGCAAATCATTTGTGATTAACTTGTGACGTAACAAAATTCGTCGATTTCGTCTGATGTTAGCACTGAACCGTAATTACGCATTCCACAATATTCTCACAATCAATATACTCTGATCACTGCATGACACAGTGAAGTATTAGTATACGCCGTAGCACATTTTGCGAGTGTGTTTCAAGGAAGATGTTTCGGATCTGATCGTCTTTAAAAGTACTTGGCTTTTAAACACGAATCGTACTTTTGCAGTTGATTCGATCGATTGCCGACTCTTATTTAATGAATTTCAAGCTTATTGCTCCTGGAAAATACTCAAAAATTCTTGAATCAAGTTAGTAAACGTCAAATATGGAATATCAGAAACACACCAGTGGATATACACTGTATGACGACTGCAGGTAAAATACGACCAAAGCCATTCGAAACTGTCACATCAAGCATCGTTGCACATACTTTTTCCAATTTGACGCAGAACTCTCTGCCATGTTTAGCTACGCAAGTTTCGACGACCACTTCTGTAAGGCTCTTAATCATCACAACTGAATACCAAAAATATCAAATATAAATTAACCATGGAAATATCAATCGATGCATGGTATATCAAGTGAATGTTTGAATCAGCTACTGGAAATAAGGCTTAACAAGACGATATTTGTACACATGCGATAACATTGGAACAGTATGCAACAGGAAGATCATAAAATCTGGAGCGATTACAACCTTTAATGGACAGTTATCACCATGACTGGTGGTTTATGAATTTATGGAATGTAAAATGAACAATTGAATTCTCTAGTCATCGCTATATCGGAAACCCATCGAAATTGAAAGGAGATAATAAATGAATAAACGAACAGAATATAGGCCATGCTAATGACACAGTATGGTTTAAAATTTTACTTTAATACCTGATTTTATGCAGACGTCAACCNCGTTTGGCAACTCTTGAAGAGTTCCTGGGAGATGCTCCGCGAAAGGTATATTTTGTGATCTATAACACCGTTGCTCAAGATTATCGCAGTATTCTTTGCCGAACTTCGCCCTGCACATCGCCAATGAATTCTCTGAAAAACGAATCGAAATTATGATTCTGAAGATTGACCTTAAGCTGGAAATGGCAATAATATGATGTTTTTGCACATGCCTGATTTCATGCAGTTGATGACTATAACTGGTAGAATGCGATTAGTATGAGATGAGAGAGTGATTCCAACCATTGATGCACACGATGTCTCCATGCTGCTGCAGAATTCCATACCGTATTTTGAAGCGCAAGAATCAATCACTATTTCTGTAAGCTTTTTTGAAATTTATATTTCTCGTACAAACTGAAGCAGTTCTCAAATTGAAGTTGTTTTAGTTTGGTGATTATGATCTGAGTTAGTGTTCGAGATAACGTGACAGTTTCGACACATCCCTTGACGGATGGTTTAAGTTTAGTAATTAAGGGAATGATATTCTACATCTGAAAACATTGGTGAATTATGCTCTCCCACATGTCATAAACACGAGTATTATATATTGTGATAAAAGCATAGGAACTGAACTCTGAAAATTCCTTTCAATATTGCATTCGACCTATTGTTTCGCGCAACAAGGGACCCATTGATTGCTCTCATGGATTCTATCTCACATTTTATTCCCTCTTCTTAATTTCATACCAACTCATCTTATAGACATAAGTGATTCCTTCTCTCGTCTTCAAATCCTCAACACTACTGCTTCACAATTTTCCCAAATAATTGAATACGGCAGCTCCAATGTTAAACCAGCTATCTGCTCATCTCGAACCAGTTAGTTGAAATGTTGAACCA